AAAAAAAAAAAAAAAAAAAAAGACCTTATTGACATGAAAGTACACTTATAAGCCAAGTGCTAGTTATATGTCAATTCTGACTGAATCAATGGCACTAAGTAGTCCAGAAAATCTCAAGAACTATAGGGCAGAGGATTTAATCAGGTCATATTCTTAATTTAGACCTAAGTTTACGTCTTGGTGGCTCACCAGTGTCAGTTTCTGTAGTTTCACGACAATATAGCCTTTCTCAAATTATACTACCTGGCTATACTACCATCAGAGTGGGGCTATAAAACTAAAGTTTCAAGGTAGTTGTAGGAATCAAATACTTACCTCTAGCTTCTTACTAGGCATAGCTTGTTTTGTACTCCATTGTGATTCATTATGAAACTGAATCACACTGACAGAGCAAATACTTGTTCTATTCTGAATTAGCCTGATGTTTACAGTCCCAAAGCAGCACAAAAATAAAGTGTGGGGAAGGTGCCTGTGGCTCAAAAGGGTAGGCCGCCAGTCCCATATGCTGGAGGTGGTGGGTTCAAACCCAGCCCCAGCCAAAAACTGCAAAAAAAAAAAAAAGAAAGTGTGATTCTGGCTTGGTGCCTGTAGATCACTGAGTAGGGCGCCAGCCACATATACCGAGGCTAGTGGGTTTGAGCCTGGCCTGGACCTGCTATACAATGACAAATGCAACAAAAAAACAGCCAGGTGTTGTGGTGGATGCCTGTAGTCCCAGCTACTTGGGAGGCTGAAGCAAGAGAATCACTTAAGCCCAAGAGTTGGAGGTTGCTGTGAGCTATGACCACGGCACTCTACCAAGACCGAGGGCGACATAGTGAGACTCTGTCTCAAAAAAATAAAATAAATAGTCTCATCCATTGAGATCCAGAAATCACCCAAGTTAGGTAGCAGAAAGGAATATTGCCATAGCTCAAAGAGCAACCTACCATTTCAAAGACAACATGAATATGTGGTCAAAGTGCCCTGCCATGATTACCAAACAGAAAATGAAGACTTTTGGGTCAGAGCTGTATCTCTAGAAATATAACATGTCCCTCATCTATGTCAATGAGCTAGCCATTTGCTGTCTTAGACAGTGAGGAAGACGAGTTCAGGAGTCTTGTTGCTTCTTCCCCTGCAGAGAACTGAAGCCGGAGAAGTGCTCAAAATGCTAACTTAAGGGCCCTTATCTTGACCTCAGGTTTGACAACACTGGGAAGGACTAATGTGCTAAATGTGTTATTCTGGAGAAAAAGCATTAAAACATAATTTAAATTTCTACCAGAGGGAAGTAAAATTCTAAATTAGAGCTGGATGATAGGAGAATAATGTCAGTTTAAAAGAAAGGAAAGGAAAATGGTTTCTAGGGACTGAGAGAAAAGGTAAATAGGATTTATTCAATGGGTATAAAGTTTCAGTTTTAGAAGATAAAAAAGTTCTAAAGGTATATTGCACAAAAATGCAAATATAGTTAACAATACTAAACTGTACACTTAAAAATGGTTAAGATAGTAAATTTCTATTATGTATTTATTATAACTGAAAAATAATTTCTTTCTTTGAGACAGAGCCTCACTTTGTCACCTTTGGTAAAGTACTATGGTGTCATAGCTCACAGCAGCTTCAAACTCCTGGGCTCAAGTGATCTTCTTGTCTCAGTTTTTTCTATTATAAGTAGAGACAGGGACTTGCTCTTGCTTAAGCTGGTCTCAATTTCCTGAGCTCAAGCAATCCACCAGCCTTGGCCTCTCAGAATTGTAGGATTATAGGTGTGAGCCACTGTGCACAGCCTTGAAAAAATAAATTTAAAAAGGCATATATACTAAAATTTATGGGATGAGGCTGGGCACGGTGGCTCACACCTATAATCCCAGCACTCTGGGAAACTGAGGTGGGTAGACTGCTTGAGCTCAGGAGTTTGAGACCAGCCTGACCAATATCGACAATGTGGTGGGTGTCTGCAGTCCCAGTTACTTGGGAGGCTGAGGCAAGAGAATCACTTAAAATGGAGAGTTTGAGGTTGCTATGGGCTATGATGCCATGGCACTTTACTGAAGGTGACAAAGTGAGACTCTGTGTCAAAATAAATAAATGAATAAATAAATAAAATGTATGGGATGTAGCAAAATCAGTTCTAAGAGGAAAACTCACAGCAACATATGCCTATATCAAAAAAGAAGAAAGATCTCAAACAACCTGATATTATTCCTTAAGGACCTAGAAAAAGAAAAAAACTAAGCCCAAAGATAGCAAGAAAAAAGTAAATAAAAAAAGATCAGAGCAGAAGTAAATGAAATAGACACTAGAAAAATAATTTAAAAGATCAAGGAAACTGAGAGTTTTTTTTTTTTTTTTGCAGTGGCTTACGCATCTAATCCTAGCACTCTGGGAGGCTAGGGAACTATGCCCTTAAGCTATGAGGTCTACAATAACTCTGCATATAGTTAAGTCTAATAATTGCATGGGGAATACCCACTCAGAATGTGTCAGGCAATAAATCCAGACACTTAGCTGCATGTAACAGGCATGGAAGTAAGTAAACAAATAAATATACAAACTGTGATAAAAGGAAAGATGGTAAAAAGTATACTCCATTTCAAGAAATGTAACACATTCTAATATGAGGCTATAAGTGAAAAATCATCACATAACATCAATTAGGTCTGACCATGTTAGTAGCTGCTTGCCAGAGAGAAAGCAGAAATTTATGAATCTCTAGATGATGTGCCTTCACATCTTGTGAGCTGCAAAGATGTCTGAAGAACTATTGAAATATTCAGAATGAAAGAGTTTCTAGGTGCTTCTCTGATCTGAAAATAAATCAGTGCAAAAAGGACAAGAAAACTTATACCATACTACTAATCAAAACCAACACCAATTTCTTCTTCCCAACAACCCCTAGTAAGAAATATTTGGTTCCTTCATCCTTGAAAGTTAGCAGTAACCAAATGGAATGCCAGATGTTTATTATAGATTTTTGAAATTTAGACCTCCAGACATAGGATTAAATCTACCAATGATAAGTTCTTTTTCTGCTTGTTAATTTGCTGGTCTACAAAAATTAGCAAACAGGGCAAGTTATATAACTACCACCTAATAAATGACAGTCAAGGAGAAAAAAAACATTACCATGCACGCTGTGCTCCAAATGTCAGCAGGGGTATTATAGCCAGATCCTATTAGAACCTCCAGGGAACGGTACTGCCTTGTTTGAATATCTTCAGTGAAATGTTTGTGCTGCGTAAATGGATAAGAAAATAATATTCAAAGATATACCCACTCTAACAATGGAGATTAAAGTACTCTGAAGTTTCCCCCAAACTCCAATCTCCATTTATCTCATTTCTTAAATATAATTGTGATGCTATTAATGCTAAATAAGCCTTTGCCTTACACAGAGCTAATTATTTTTGCAAAAAAAATGAACCTAAACTTAATATAGATATATTGATTTAGGGAAAAACAGTAACTTTTTAAGAAATGGGAAACTATTACCTTAAGCAAAAATTTAGCTGTTCATTTGTCTAAAAATCAATAAATTGTACATCAACAAATAAATGACATTAACTTAGGTTCAATTCAAACTTTTCCTTGCTATGTGTTCACTATGTAGGTTAAAGGAGCTTATAAACATCTATATAGAACCCTTGTCCCCATTCTTCCCTACCTACCTCACTCTGTTCAAACTAATATCAAACAAGAATCTTTGGGAGGGCCCAATGCAGTGGCTCATGCCTGTAATCCCAGCACTTGGGAGGATCCACTCAGGTGGATTGCCTTAGCTCACAGGTTCGAGACCAGCCTAAATCAGAGCAAGACCTCATCTCTAAAAATAGCTAGGTATTGTGGCAGGTGTCTGTCATTCCAGCAACTCGGGAAGCTGAGGCAAGAGAATCACTTAAGCCCAAGAGTTTAAGGTTGCTGTGAGCTGTGATGCCACAGCACTCTACTGATGGAGTGAGACTCTATCTCAAAAAAAAAAAAAAAGAATTGTAATACTCAATATATACTGCCAGCAAAAAATGAATACAAATCACATCAAGCACCTCTTGTAATTGCAAAAGTCAAACATGACTTGAGTATTAAAATTTTAATATAGTTTTTTCCTTTATTAAAATGGGTATACTTTCTTTAGGCACCACCTACATATGAATTCTCCATAATAAAACATAAATTAATAATAAAGGGAGAAATGAATCTTAGTAGGAGTCAAATACAGGAAACAAAATTTCAAATAACAGTAAAACATGTACAAGAAAGTGTAAAAGATAATTCTCTAACGTTGAAATTTAAAAACAAGGCATGGTATTTGTGAAGAGGGAAAATTAGGAAGAGAAAGATTCAAGTTGAAAACCAGTACAGCCTAGGGCTCCAATGTGCTACTGAACTCAGTTTGACCAAAAGAGCAAAAATACTACTCCAGGAAGAAAGAACATCACCGATAAAGGCACAGAATGACATCTGTTGGTTGAAAGGCAAATATAGCTAACTGCTAGGTTAAAGTGTTTGGATTTCATTTGGCAGAAATGAGATTACCATTAGTCACTGAATGGGAGAAAATACTGTTAACAAGACTGACATCTGAGACGATAATCTGATAATCTTTTGGGTGGTCACCAGATTTAGGTTCAGTAATAAAACTATGAACAATGGCTGTGGAAACAGGAGAAGGAAGAGTTAAATCCAAGGATACTCACTGGAAAGAATAAGTAGAATTTTAAAAATTCAATAGCTACCAGGCCCAGTGGCTCACATCTATAATTCTAGCACTCTGGGAGGCTAAGGCAGATGGATAGCTTGAGCTCAGGACTTCAAAATGAACCAGGCTGAGCAAGAGTAAGATCCAGTCTCTAAAACTAGCCAGGTGTTGTGGCAGGCGCCTGTGTCCCAGCTATAGGGAGGCTGAGGCAAGAGGATAGCTTGAGCCCAAGAGTTTGAGGTTGCTGTGGCTCTGATGCTACAAGCACTCTACCGAGAATGAGAAAGTGAGACTGTCTCAAAATAAATAAATAAATAAAAATAAAAATAAACAAAAATAAAATAAAATAAAAATATTCAATAGCAATGAGACAATGAGAAAATCCAAAAGGAACTTTTAACGCAGAGGTCTACAGAGTTGGCTGTCTGCTATAAAAAACAATAAAACAAACAAAAAAATAAAAATAGAAACAAGAGATGGAGAGACTTAAAGAGGAAACTGATTCTATAGGAAAGCAATGGGCTCAGATACTGAGTCTGAAGTGACTTAAGCTGACAAAATAGAATGGCTAAGAAGTGGGAACAACAAAATTTAGAAGTCAGAAAGCAAAGGGATCATTGGTAAGTATCTTAGTGGACCCAAGAAAGTCACTGTTGGTAAAAGCTGAGAAGCACTATAATTTACACCAAGTACTTCTCCCTGCAAGGGTGAGGATTTAGTGGTGCCAAGTATCTCTAGAAGTAGGAGTGAGGAGGGATTCAAAAAAGGAATATTGTTTTAAAGCATCTTTTAAGAAACAGAGCTCCAGAACACATGGGATAATGCTGGTTAAGAGCTCCTTTCCTGGTCTCATAGACTTCTCTAGAGTGGATAAAACAGGATCTTTGGAGGACAGTGACATAGTTGAGAGAAAAATACCATTCTGAAAACAGGGGAATTAAGTGACCTTACTATATTTAGAAACCCATTTCTTGTCTAACTCAGCTCCCAGAACACTGGTAGCCAGGCATCTACTCCCTGAGTAGGATATTTGAGGAAGACTATGTGATAATCTAACAGCAAAGATCCAAAGATTTTGACATCTCGGGATGAAATAAAAATACACAAAACAGATCATTCTGTTGTGAATAATCAACAAGACTCATGCACAGAGCTTTCAAATATCATTAGTACTTCATATGGTGATCTATTTAGTGATCTGAAGCAGAAAGAAAGCAATAAGGCTGGGCACCCGTAGCTCAACGAGTAGGGCGCCAGCCACACATACCAAAATTGGCAGGTTTGAGCCCAGCCTGGGACTGCTAAACAACTGCAACCAAAAAATAGCCAGGCGTTGTGGCAGGCGCCTGTAGTCCCAGCTACTTGGGAGGCTGTGGCAAGAGAATCCTTTAAGCCAAAGAGTTGGAGTCTGCTGTGAGTTATGAGGCCACAACACTCTACCGAGGGTAACGTAGTGAGACTCTGTCTCAAAAACAAACAAACAAAAAAAAAGCAAGTAAACAAGCAATAACTATCACATAAGAAAATGGCAAAAAAGGAAAAATACCATCTGAGACTTTTTTTTTAGACAGAGTCTCATTATGTCACCCTTGGTAGAGTGCCGTGGCATCACAGCTTATAACCTCACTTGGGCTTAAGTGATTCTCTTGCCTCAGCCTCCCAAGTAGCTGGGAACAGGTACCCGCCACATTACCCGGCCATTTTTTGTTACAGTTGTCATTGTTTAGCTGGCCTGGGCTGGGTTCAAACCCACCACCCTCAGTGTATGTGGCTGGCGCCGTAAACACTGTGCTACGGGGTGGCAAGCCTTAAAAAGATATTTTTATGAAATAAGAACAGGATGCTATTTTTAAAATAATCAGAGAACCAAAGACTGCTTGGAAAGTAAAAACAGAATAATAGAAATGAGAAACAATGAGGCCCATAAAAATAGTTGAGAAATCTTCCAGAAAGTAAAGCAAAAAGGAAATGATTAAAAAATAGGAAAGGGCATGGTGCCTGTAGCACAGTGGTTGTGGCGCCAGCCACATGCTCTGAGGTTGGCAGGTATGAGCTCAAATGGGCCAACTAAACAACAATGATAACTACAACAAAAAATAGCCGGGCACTGTGGCAGGCGCCTGTAGTCCCAGCTACTTGGGAGGCTGAGGCAAGAGAATCGCTTAAGCCCAAGAGTTTGAGGTTGCTGTGAGCTGTGATGCCATAGCATTCTACTAAAGGCAACATAGTGAGACTCTGTCTCAGAAAAAAATAAATAAAAAATAAAAAGTAGGAAAGAAAGGTGAAGAAAACAATATGACCTGTCTAACATTTGGAATAATGAGATTTTAGTAGAGAGACCAAAATCAAGGAAGATTCTAAACCAGTGGTTCTCAACCTTCCTAATGCCGCGACCCTTTAATACAGTTCCTCATGTTGTGGTGACCCCCCCAACCGTAAAATTATTTTTGTTGCTACTTCATAACTGTAATTTTGCTACTGTTATGAATCATAATGTAAATATTTGATATCCAAGATGGTTGCCATTGTTTGACCTCCCCCCCCCCCCGAAGGGGTTGCAACCCACAGGTTGAGAACCACTGTTCTAACCCAAAGAATCAGAGTATCCATATTATGGGTGCATAATGAATCGTTAGTATAATAGACAAGAACAGACCTAGCAAGGCACATCACTGTGAAATAATGATTTCACAGATTTCACAAGGGGAAAAGATACACATTTTTTATCATACAAAGATAGAGAATCAGAATAGCATTGGTCTTTAGAAGCATCAAGACTAGAAACTAGAAGAATGCAGTAACAAACATTCTGAAGGAAAATGATTTTTAATTTAGAACTCTGCACACAGCCAACACACAGAATTAAAGACTATCAGTCATGCAAGATCCTCCTCAAATCTCCTAACCCTTTCACAGGAAGCTTCTGCAGGTTGCATGTACTCCACAAAAATGATAAAGTAAACCAAAAAAGAAGGTAGGAAATACAAAAATCAGGGGGTATAAAGAAAGAAAATAATAATCACCAGAACGATGGTGAAGAGAAATCCCAAACAGCAGTAAGGTAGCAGACTTTCAAGGCAACCTAGTCAGATGAACACAGATTAGAAGACTCCAGGTTCCAGGACAGAGCTGTTTAAGAAGATGTATGCATTTAAAGTGCATGTATTTACACGACCAGATAAAAGTATGGGGTTGAATTAAGTGATAAATAATACAAAGAAAAGCAAGCAAATGAAATACGATGTTATATATAAAGGAAAAGGAATCATACTACAATATATGTTCTGTTTAGCTGAAGATAGCATTAGTCTTACTAATGTAAACATAGACATGATCATTTATCCAAAAATTAATATAATTGGGGAAGATGGGAAATTGGTGCAGTGATGGTAAATAAGTCCCAGTTTCTAGGGAGAAGAAATAAAACATAACATTGATTAGGAATGGTATAACCACGTTACTTATTAGTGATACAGAGGTAAATCCTATCATGGGGAATTAAAAATTATCAAAGAGAGTGAGATTTTTAAATTAAAATCTATATACTGGCTGGGCATGTTGGCTCATACCTATAATCCTAAGAATACCAGGAGGCTAAGGTGGAAGGATCAGCCCGAGCAAGAACAAGAACCAGTCTCTATTAAAAACAGAAAAATTAGCTGGGTGTTGTAGTGAATGCCTATAGTCCCACCTACTTGAGAGGCTAAGACAGAAGGATCACTTGAACCCAGGAGTTTGAGATTGCTGTGAGCTAGGCTGACCCCATGACACTCTAGCCTGGGCAACAGAGGGAGACTCTGTCTCAAAACAAAAACCTATATAACTGTCTCTATACTACATATGTGCATATGTTCTTTTATTATACCATTCTTTCTACTTTTGTAAATATTGCATATTTGAACTTTTCAATAATAAACAGTTAAAAGAAAAAAGTGAAAAAATATTCACTAAAATATTAAGTGTCAATCTGGGTGTAGGACTGTAAATGTTTTAGTTAGCACAATTAAGTCAAAATTCTCTTTATTCCCAGTCACTTGAACACATAGCACTGAGACAAATTTAACTTACCACCCAACAGGCATTTCCAAGATCAGCAATCTTCACCTTTAACTTTTCTGCATTTTTTGGCTCAAGGGGATTAACAAGAAAATTTCCAGCAGTAGATTTTCCTACAGACATCAATAAAACTGTTCAATGAATATACAAACACTCAAAGGGTAATAAAGCTTTCCAAGCTGAGAGAGTAATACAGACAACTATCCAGTTGGCTACCTATAATAATTTTCTATTTTCTAAGGCCTGGCATAATGGTTTTTGCCATTATGGAAGCCAAAGTGGCAGTGGAGGCTGTGTATGAGGGGTGGGGTATCACTTGAGCCCAGGAGCCCTGGGCTACAGGATGAGACTCTGTCTCTACCAAAAAAAAAAAAGTCTAAGATAAAAAGAGCAGAGCAAAGCAAAGCAAGGCTGGACACAGTGACTCACGCCTATAATCTTAGTATTCTGGGAGGCCAAGGCAAGTGGATTGCTTGAGCTCAGGAGTTCAAGACCAGCCTGAGCAACAGCGAGACCCCATTTCTAAAAAATAGCCAGGTGTTGGGGCAGGTGCCTGTCATCCCAGCTACTTGGGAGGCTGAGGCAAGAGGATAGCTTGAGTTAGAAGCTGCTGTGAGCTATGATGCGACAGAACTTTACCAAGGGCAACGAAATAAGATTCAGTCTCAAAAAAAATTTTTTTTTCTGGAATTAAATAAAAATAGCACAAGTTCTTTAGAGGAACAAGTGAAATGCGGTGTACTCAGTATATGACAAGTAAAATTTAAAGCTAGCTACAGATCTACATGTTGAAAGTAACCTAAGACACTTGCTATAAAGCTATAGCTTAAAGAAAAAAAAAAAGATACTTTTGGTCTAGATATTCATGAATGTGTTGTGCAGGAAATTTTTGGGAAGTGTCTACATAGGTACCTTTGTTGTCCAGTGGTCCATTATGTTCTTGCTCTTGTTCATCTTCACAGGGCAGCTCTGCCCGAATGCTTTCCTGAAGCTGGCTGATGTCCTGTTCACTGAATGACTGATCTATAGCTGAGGAAGACTGGCATACCATGGTATCTGACACCTCAGAAGTAATAGGTATACAAGAGTCTGTTTCTTGAGATGTGCTGCTGTCTCCATTTTGGGAACTTAGGAAACTAGGTTCCTGCTTTAAATTTTGGACATCACAGTCATTAGCATTATGTAGATCCTCTTTAAGCCTCAATGTTTCGTTATTACTGTTCTCAGTATAATTAACGATTTCAATTACTCCATTGCAATTAATTTCTGCTGCACCACCCTCTACACCACGTTCCATAAGAGTTTGATCCTGGCTCATGGTACTTGACTCTTCTAAGGAACAAACAAACAAAAAAGGAAGCATGTGTATGTGTCTAAGTGAAAGAAAGAAAAATTTCTCACAAGATTAAAACATTTTCTAGAACTTATACTCAGTAACATAAAAACATTACTGACCATCTAATGCCTGTTTATAGAAGGACAAAAAGATCTTATCCTTATCCAATTACTAATGAAGACTATGTTCTGTTTCCTGAGAAAAGTTAGAAATTACATTTGAATATTACCTGCCTGATATTTATGACAAGATCTATATTCTTATAGGACACCCCCAGAGATGTGTTGTACACATGAAACTAGTATATAATATAACAATGATAAATGAATGCTAAAGTGTGCCATAAAATAATTTTTGTGATGCTCTATTTATACCAAGTTTTTCTTGGGTCATTTTATTAGGTGGGTTCTCTTTCAAGGGTCTTTCAACAGGACTCTCTGATTCTTCTTGCTTGTTTGGTCTTTTTTGCCCAGGGCCCGACTCTTTCTCCATTTCCTCAATTTCCTGCATTCGCTTCTCTAGTAACTCTGCCTGGCGCTTCTGCTTCTTCTTCAATTTCTTCTTCTTATTCTTTGACATTTTGTCAGCCTGGGCGGAGATTACAAACAGATAAAGCCTTCAGGTGGCTAATCCATTACCCCTAGTTGGAGATAACTGTTAATTTTAATTACTTCCTAATTAAATTTCACTATTTCCCTAACGTAGCACTTAAATTTTTCATTAATTTAAAAGATGCAGACATTCTCATGAAAGAAAATAAAAACAGAATCAACAATACTCTCAGTCTTCTGTGGGACTGGTTTAAACTCAGACAAACTCAAATTTGCAGAAGAAGCTTTACCAGTACAAATTTGCTAAAGATGCATGAAAATCTATCAGAGAAAATTATAGAAGCGCAGGAATATTTTTCCCTTTGGTTTTCAAACTCTAAACTGACCATTTATAACAGAAGAACTCATGCTTATAGCCCACAGATCAGAATTAAATATATAAACACCTTATACTTACTGGTTTCGGTTGGGGAGCAGTACTGACTGAAAAGAAAAGAAAACCAAGTAAGAATTTTGGCAGGCAATACAAACTACAGCTCAGTTAAGACACTCTACCAGAATGAAAAGTCTGTCTTGTACAGCCTACACTGTAGCAAAAACTACTGTTTTTAAGTGACTTTGGCAGAAGCCACGTTAGTAATAGTAGTGGAGATGGTGTCTCCCTACATTGCCCAGGCTGATCTCAAAATCCTGGGCTCATGCAATCCTTCTGCTTCAGCCTCCCAAGTACCTGGGACAACAGGCATATGCCATCATGCCTGACCTATTACTATTTTTAAAGAAAAGAATACATCCATCAGTTGCCAAACTTAAAAAATGCTTAAATTAAACTCTTCCTCAGGTAGCATCAATATGTGTAATAGAATTGAGTTCCCAATGCTGCTAAAATCATCTATTCTCATTCCCATGTATTGCATAAAATAGAAAGGGGCAGCAACAATCTCCTCACCCCTACCCAGAACACCCACCAACTCTTCCTCTCTGCATTTTTCAATTTTAAAGGGAGAATTTAGGTGACATCACGAGCTAAAGTAATTCAGTCAGATGCAGTGTTGTATGTATGCAGTCTCAACTGGTTGGGAAGCTGAGGCAAGAGGATGGTTCAGTTGGAGACCAGCCTGGGCAATATAGCAAGACTCTGTTTCTAAAGGAGGGAAAAAAAAACCCCTGTATTAATTTGCTTTATTGCATGCTATGGGTAATAGTTTAGCTCACATGGAAAGTGGGATTTTCAGTCTTCTTTTCAACATGTTGACTGCCATGCTAGAAAAAAATTTTTTTTCCTTGGGTTCACGGTGTTTTAGTAGGTCAGGAGATGTGTGAGTTACATATGCTTCACAAGGCCCTGGGCTCATAACCAGCATAAGTTAAATACAACTCACATGGCAGTTTATGTGTTAAAATACTTGTAATTGAGGTTAAAAAAATATATAGAACTTATTATCAACTGTACCACTCAAGTGTACAGTTCAATGGTGGTAACTATACTCACACTAGTGAGTAACCAATCTCTAGAACTTTTTCATCTTGCAAAACAGAAACTATCGCTTTTGAATAAGTTCCCCTTCCCCCTTCTCCAGGCTTCCTTTTAAAAGAAAGTTTCGTAACTGATATTTCAACTTGAAGATCAAGAATGTTCCTCAAATATGATCTAACTACCAAAATTAAAATCTGTACCTCAAATGGAAAAAAATTCATCATAATCAAAGCAGTTATAATTGATTTAGCGCATAATAATATGTGGCACACTACTAACTGGTTTACCATGATATTTAATTTAAATAACTCCTGCATGAGGGAAAATGAAGTCAAGTAATGCAACGAAGGTCTATCAACCAATGACAAAGCCAGGACTCAAACCAGGTCTGTCTACTATGGGGTTTAAACCCAAGCTCTTAATTGTATCTTCCCACTTTACAGATCGCTGATCCATAAGCAAACAAGTATGATCATAGTAAGAGGTAAATGCATCAAAAATGGCCATCAAATCACAAGAAAATACATTTTTCAACAATACAAATTGGTTTTTAAATAATATACAACATACCTGTACCTAAAAGGTACAATCTCTAGTTTTCTCCTTCCCATATGGGAGCGATAATGAGAACAAAATAAGCCTCTTAAAGGTTGATTTTGGGGTTTTTTGTTAAATGATTAAATAGTGTTTATTTAATTCCCTGGTAATAGAATAAAAATAGAAATCTCTCTTAACTTCTAATGAGAAGCAAGTCTCTAAAAGAAAACATACCTGCTGATCCAGAAGGTGGAGGAGCTCCAGATCGCTGCCACTCTGTTGCTTCTGCAGCTAGCCTCCGAATGTACTGCTCATTTACTGACAGCAAGATGTTTTCCGGTTTAATGTCAGTATGGATGATACGGCACTTGGTGTGTAAATAATCCAGGCCCTGTAACACCTGAAGAAATCACAACATTTAAAAAACCAATGTAGGGGCCGGCACTTGTGGCTCAGAAAGGTGAGGCACTGGTTCCATATGCCGGAGGTGGCGGGTTCAAACCCAGCCCAGGCCAAAAACTGCAAAAAAAGAAAAAACAATATAGGTGGCGCCCATAGCTTAGTGGGTAGGGCACAGGCCACATACACCAAGGCTGGTGGGTTGGAACCTGGCCCAGACCAGCTAAAACAATAATGACAACTTCAACAACAACAATAACAAATAGCCAGGTGCTGTGGCAGGCACCTGTGGTCCCAGCTACTTGAGAGGCTGAGGCAAGGGAATCGCTTAAGCCCCAAGAGTTTGAAGTTGCTGTGACCCCAACAGCACTCCACCCAGGGCAACAGCTTGAGACTCTGTCTGACAATAAATAATAAAGCAACAATCACAAACCAATATAACTTTTTCTATAGAGAATAAAGCACTTTTGAAAAGCACAAGGAAACTTTCCTGGACAGGATCAATTATAACTATGAACAAAGACAAAAATTTACTTATAAGTTTTACGAAGCTAATTCTTTTGGTAATATTCTTTAACTATACACATCATAAAGACAGAGTAAATGTTGAACATACCCTTTAAATGTTGAAATGGAAGTGATAACAGAGATTTAGATGCAAATTTCCTCACTGATTAGAACTGAGGAGTCTTGTTGCCCAGTTTGGAGCTCTTTCCAAACCACATTATTCAAACAAATAATCTGCCCCTTGAAGTATTAATATTTTCCCAATGGTAAAATTCTATACTGTATATTGGAGGCTATATAGAAAATCAGAAAATGCCCATGAGTAATGCTGCATGAAGAGATGACAATAATTTGATATAGTAACTCTCTAGTAATATATAATTAATATTTGCAAACAGAACTTTTGGAGCTCTAATTTTCCAAAGTCAGGTACTTCATACAGCTTCCCCTTCTAATAATTATTACAGAAGATGAACCCAGGGGAAAATAGTTATCCTAAAACACTTAAAAACAGAATAAACACAAAAACCCCAAAAGTTTGAACAACATATTAAACAATTAAAAAAAAAACCTAGTTTTTAAAATAAATATTCCATTAGAAATAGGAAATCTTATACCCAGAACATTAAAAAATTACTATACAGCAAAGAGTAATATACATACTTGCTGAATAATTTTTTTGACACAAGGCAGTGGAAGCCCCTGATAGTTGGATTTGATGATCCACTTGAGCAGATGATGCCCCAAAACTTCAAATACCATGCAGATATCTAGGAATTTATTAAGGAGAGAAGAGAAAAAAGGCACAAAAGAATAGGGCATGACAAGATATACAACCCACCCCAAAGAAAATGTTATATATTATTTTCTTTCAGTATAAAAAGTTATAGAGCTTGACTAAATAAATATGTAGCTATCAATATTCTGAAATTCTAAACTCTAATGCTATATAATCAATGAAAACTTCTGTGAGAGAAAATTATGGAAGACTGGCTTATCAATGAAATCACGTACTCAATGGTAATACAAAAAGTGAAACCTATAATACAAATAGTGAAAACACTAAGCTCAAGCTGTTAATTGAATTAAGGTAAGTTAGTTTCTCCCCTAATTACCAGAATTAATGTTCAAGGTAAAAACTCCCACTCTCACAGTCTCAAAGCAATAGATAAAAAATTCTTCCTTACATAGAAACAACATACAAAATTTAACCCCCATTTGCAAATGCCAACATTTAAAAAAAAAGGAAACTGACTTGGTTTATGCTCTGTAGTTTACAAACGAATCTTGATTCCACTGCCATCCCACGTTCTCTTTATGTATGAAAAATCCTGAAAACACCACATAGGAGTAATGTTTGAGCCTACAAGTGTATAGGGATGTTAGTATCATAGTATGCTGATGTCTACTACCCCCAGAAGCTTCCACATACACTAGTATGGAAAGTTAAGACATATATGCAGAATAATGATCCAGTACAAAGACTTTGTTTTATTTTTATTTTTTTCTTTGCGACAGTCTCACTCAGTCATTCTGGGTAGAGTGCTGTGGCATCATCATAGCTCACAGCAACCTCAGGCTCTTTGAGCTCAAGAGATTCTCTTTAGCCTCCCAAGTAGCTGGGACTACAGGTGCCCACCACAATGCCTGGTTAATTTTTTTTGTTGTTGTTAGAGACAGTCTTACTTTGTTGCCCTCAGTAGAGTGCCGCCATGGTGTCACAATTCACAGTCATCTCCAGCTCTTGGGCTTAGGCAATTCTCTTGCCTCAGCCTCCCGAGTAGCTGGGACTACAGGCAACTGCCACAACACCCAGCCATTTTTTTGTTGCAATTTGGCTGGAGCTGGGTTTGAATCTGCCACCCTCGGCATAGGGGGCCGGTGCCCTACTCACTGAGCCACAGGCATCGCCCATGCCTGGTTAATTTTTCTATTTTGAGTAGAGAAGGGGTCTCATTCACTCTTGCTCAGGCTGGTCTCCAACTCCTGAGCTTAGGCAATCCACCTGCCTCTGCCTTTCAGAGTGCCAAGATTATAGGTGTGAGCCATTGAGAATGCCTGACCTGTTTGTTTATTCAGAGACATAGTCTTGCTCTATCTCCCAGGCTGGACTGCAGTGTCATGATCACAGACCACTATAGCCTCCCAAGCAGCTGAGACTATAGGCACCCACCACTATGTCTGGCTAATTTTTAATTTTTTTGTAGAGACAAGGTCTCACCATGTTGCTAAGGCTGGTCTCAAACTCCTGGGCTCAAGCAACCCTCCCACCTTAGCCTCTCAAAGTGCTAGGTGATTCCAGGTATGAGCCACTGCTCTTGATCAGACTTTTATTTTTTGGTTATAGTTGTCATTGTTGTTTGGCAGGCCCAGGCTAGATTCGAACCTGCCAGCTCTGGTGTATGGGGCTGGCGCCCTAGCCAGTGAGCTACAGGTGCTGAGCCTCTTGATCAGACTTTTAATTAAGATTCTCCACTAAAAGCAAGCTTGGGCTCCTTGGAAAAATGGCCAAATCCAAGGCTACTGCACAGGGAAAATACAGGGTGCACTTAGAACACTTTAGTGTGGCAACAAGTAAAAGAACACATCAAGAAGAAAATAGGAGCCATTTTGAAGAGGATGCGACTGGCCAAAGTGGAGATCTTTTTATAGAGTACAGTGATGGGTTAATACATGAATTAAAGACAGAATGAAGGCTAGATGCAATTTGGCTCACTCCTGTAAACCTACCACTTTAGAAGGATGAGGGGTTGGATCACTTGAGTCCAGGAGTTTAGCTTGGGCAAAACAGGGAGTAATTGTCTAACGTATGAATTAAAAACAGAATGATGGCCAGGTACAATGTGGCATGTACCTATAGTCCCAGCTACTTGAGAAGCTGAGGCAGGAAAATCAAAGCTACGAGTTCTAGGTTGCAGTGAGCTGTAACACTACACTCCAACCTGGGTAACGGAGTGAGCCCGTTTTTAAAAAAACAAAACAAAGCAAAAAACCCATAATGAATCCATACTGAATAAATATACAAGGTATGACAAATAGAAAAAAAAATCACCATTTTACAATCTCTATAATAACTGATTCAGTGAACAATCAGTAAGAACCAAAACCACTGTAGAAAAGACTATTAAGGATTGTCCAGTGTCAAAATATCACTCCACAGATTGCTTATTAATTATAAGAACAAAGCAGTTTTACGACAGGGAAATTTAGAAGGCAATGTCTTAATCAAATGATCAAACTTGGCTCGGCGCCTGTGGCTCAAGCGGCTAAGGCGCCAGCCACATACACCTAAGGTGGCGGGTTTGAATCCCCAGCCGGGGACCGCCAAACAACAATGACGGCTGCAACCAAAAAATGGCCGGGCATTGTGGTGGGCGCCTGTGGTCCCAGCTACTTGGGAGGCTGAGGCAGGAGACTCGCTTGAGCCCAGGAGTTGGAGGTTGCTGTGAGCTTGATGCCATGGCACTCTACCCAGGGGGATAGCTTGAGGCTCCATCCCAAAAAAAAAAAAAAAAATGATCAAACTTATTACCAATGATAAGAACAAATTTAAGTCATGTGCCTTCTGATGCAATACACTGAGAATAAAACACCACCCATGTGGTATACCTGACAAAAATGATTGATGTGAATTATGAGGAAACAATCAGACAAATCCAAAAGGCACAAAATGACTAGCCTGGATTCTTTTTTTTTTTTTTCCTGGAGAGAGTCTTACTTTGTTGTCTTGGGTAGAGTACCATGGTGTCATAGCTCATAGCAACCTCAAACTCCTGGGCTCAAGCAATTCTCTTGCCTCAGACTCCCGAGTAGCTGGGACTACAGGTGCCCACCACAATGCCCAGCTATTTCTAGAGATGAGGTCTCGCTCTGGCTCAGGCTGGTCTTGAACCTGTGAGCTCAGGCAATCCACCTGCCTCAGTAGCCAGCATTTTTAAATAAACAAAAGGAAAACAAAGAAAAGAAAAAGGTCAACCAATGTCATGAAAATAATGTACTAAATGAAAGATTAAAGAGACATGATAACCTCAGTGAAACATAAGTCAAAATCATAATATGTGGCTGGGGACAGTGACTCATGTTCGTAATCTAGGAGACCAAGGCAAGGGGATTACTTGATGTCAGGATTTGAAGACCAACCTGAGCAAGAATGAGACCTTGTCTCTACTAAAAATAGGAAAATTAGGCTAGGTGCCTATAGTTCAGTAGTTAAGGCAATGGCCACATACACCAGGGCCGGCAGGTTCGAACCTGGCCAAGGCCTGCTAAACAACAATGACAACTACAACAACAACAAAAAATAGGGGGGCGTTATGGCAGGTGCCTGTAGTCCCAGCTACTTGGGAGGCTGAGGCAAGAGAATCGCTTAAGCTAAAGAGTTTGAGGTTGCTGTGAGCTGTGATGCCATAGCACTCCACCAAGGGCGACATAGTAAGACTCTGTCTCACACACAAAAAGTTATCATTAGTGTGGTGTAGTCCCAGCTACTCAAGAGGCTGATGCAGTAGGACTGCTTTAGCCCAGCATCTGAGGTTGCAGTGAGCTATTTTTGAGTCAATGCACTCTAGACAGAGTAAAACCTTGTCTTAAATACATACATACATACGTTCATAAATAAGAATTACAATACAATACCATCTCAAGCTCACTAAAATGCCTGGAATAAAAAAAGACTAACATCGTCAAGTTTGGTGAAAATGTAGAACAATGAGAATTCATATTATGCCAGTATAAAATGGTACGACTACTTTGGAAAATGGGTTGACCATTTCTTAAGAGTTAAATATAAAAACCTTATGAACTTCTACTTCAGCCAAGACTGAGTATCAGAGACTGGCTTTACTCTCTTGTTAGTAAAAGCAAGAACTAAAACAGACAAAATAAATAAAACAATAAAAGACATCAGGCAATGGGGGCAGTGATTCCTAAAACTGAAAACAAATGAGTTGAACTCTAAGATCACTCCATCTTACTATCTTAAGACTCTCCAGGTAGACTCCATAAGTTGAAGAAATGGAGCTGAGAGTCTGGAAAGATCCAGCCAGCTAGTGAGGAGGACAAGATACCAGAGAAGACAGACCTGCCAAAAGAGAGAACTTGGTATCTGCAGAGGGTCCCCTGAAAATATTTGGGAGAGTATTGGTAAGCACATGTATGTCAAGAAAGAAGCAAAGACAGGAAAAAAATCCATCTGAAAGGATTAGAAGGAACAACACTCAGCATTTGCATAGGGCTTGGAACAGTGCTGATCCCACCCAAAAGACTAGGAAAATTCAGTCACAGGGCATTGGATAGGGTATTTGGGAAGATTCTGTCTTGGAAGAGGGAAATGATCAGACCCACACTAAGCACTGCTTTGGACCCACCTAACAAAATATAAAAGTAAAATCTGATAAGATCACTTTCCAAGTAACTGCATCCCAGAACAAAGCTGAAGATTTTTTTTATAGGAATACAAAATATCCAGCAGCCAACAAGGTAAAATTCACAATGTGATTACCAGGTAGCAAGAATGCAGAAAATCGTATCCAAAATTAGAATAATCAGTCATTTGACCAGAATCAAATAGATGTTAGAATGAGACTAGGACATTAAATGGTTATAATAGCTTTATATGTTCAAAAAGTTAAGTTGAGACATAGAAATAAGTATACTATGAAAGATGAACAGACACTGGATGTAATAAATAGCACATCAGACACAATGGAATAGTCAACTTGATTAATTTTAAAGCATAGCAAAAGAAATAATCCAAAATGAAACACAAGGA